GGATTGTATCAGATATTAAGCTGATAAGAACAGATACTACACTTTGATCTTAGCTCAGAGAGCCGAGAAGCGATGCTGCTCTCAATCCACGCAGCCCTTTTAAACACCTTTCGACGGATTTCGCTCGCGACTTCGCCTCGACCCGCTGCGCGACGCCGCGGCCGCCAGACAAACTTCGTGTATCTGCAACCCGTAGTAGTAGTAATGGTAGTAAATAGTCTCTAACCTATTGCCCTGTCACTTTATTAATATTACGATTAAATTTGGTTACAGTAACCAAGAATAATTAGCATTTATTAATTAATTAGTACCGTTAATTATTACCGCAGATTAGTATCGCTAATTAATATCTTATTCATATTGTTTAATAGTATCACAAACTTACGATTGTGTGTGGCGCGTGTGTGTATGTGCTCAGCATGCAAGTTTCCCATCTTTTTCTCCTCATGAAAGTTGACAAAAGTATTTTCGACTTTCAGCAAATACACGTTTGATTGACAATGGAAGGTTGATTTTGATTTCACCATAAATTAATAAAGCATTGCTTTCTCTATTTTAGCCAAAGTAGTTTAGTTATTTTCCAGATTTACAGAAGCTTAGATTAATACGTTGACATTTTTAGCACGATACTTCACAACTGTGTAATCATCAAATAGATTCACAATCGCTGGTAGTATAACGATAACTGAACGATTGCCTGTGGAATCTTTATAAATTATGTATGGATATTTAATATGAGGACATTCAGAACGCAGTATGTAAATACCAAGTATAAACCTTCATATGCCACACATAGAAGCCACTAACAAAAGTTAGTCATGATAGTAATATAAAAAATTGTTTATATCTCTGAAACGATTGAGTTTTCGACCTATATTTATTGATTATTTTACTTAGTATTGTGTGTACTATCTATCATATGAACACTGAATGCTTTAACACTGTACATGAGAATATGTAAAAAAAAGTAATGTTTTCCATAAAGTTAAACATATGACAAGAATATTGTTGTAATTTATAGAAAGACAGCACAATAACTACTAAAAACAGTTTTAAGAGTGCACATTTAATATATATAACAATTTTTAGCTAGATAAATTAGATCAAACTTATGATTAAATAAGATAATATTATTTGATTTTACTATAAGAGGAATGTAAAATATATACACAATCCTCATATATCTTCTGTTCTCGAGAACATTTGATAATTTATTTGACTTATGAGAGTATATGAAAAATGAATTAATAAATCGTTTCTTTGCGCTCAAAAAATATAATTTTTTGGGTTATATATAGTCAATACAATTTTTTTTATTTTCATTTTTAATTTCCAAACATATTATTTTTCTAACTCTAATTTATATCAATAGAATTACGAACTTATTATTACAAAACTTCTAGAGGGTAATGTTAAAAAATTATGCTTATAGGATGGACCATTTTTTTCTTGAAAAATATTTTTTTTCCTACCATGAATGGATACTTTTTTTGAAAGATTCTATCCCGCACAGCAGTAGAAATTCTTCTCGATATTATACATAGCAATCACATTTTATATAGAACGCCTAATGAACCTGTAATCAACTTACATTATAAAACACGCATACAACGCTATGTATCATAATTTTTTTTATTACGCTGCCAGATTCCAGATAAATGTGCGAATAAATGCGCGAACATATGCATACATCGTAAGTGAAAATAGTAAAAGTTAATATGAATTATCACATATACCTAAACTTGAGTGTCTATAAAATCGGATATAACATTTATTATGCATACAAAATGTGCGAATTATTCGTGAAATCATCTCATATCGATAAATAATTCATGTACTATGTTGTTTACATGTTTGCAAGAATCTGAAGCAAGAAATATTATAACATTTCTATAAAAGAGTTAATATACATATTCAATATTGTAGAAGAATTGATTTTCATGTGTGTGTGTGGGTGTGTGTATTTTTAAAAATTTATATTAATTTGGTATATCATCATATATATATGATTGAAATCGTTATTGATGCCAATTTGTAGATTTTTGCATTGGATTATATATATATACAGGGTGTCCCAAAAGCACCCTTGACAACGCTCGTGAGCAGGTAGAGCACAGTAAACTGAACAGAAAAGTCCTGTACCATTTTTTCTATAACGCTTAATAAAGGAGTTATTATTGAGTAAAGTCTGGTCAATCAGCGCCGACTTTTAGCCGGACGCACGTCAGTGAGCCGCCCGTCTGCTAGTGTGTGTCGCCGTAGCGACGAAACGCTCACGCACACTACCAGGCGCGCAGCTAAAGGTCGGCGCTGATTGGTCAGACTTTACTCAATAATAACTGCTTTATTAAGCGTCATAAAAAAAATGTTACAAGACTTTTCTGTTCAGTTTACTGTGCTTATACATATAAAATCTAATATATATAATACATATACACACACACATGTATATATATAATTTAAATAAAAATTACAAATTACAAATCTGCGCATCATCAACAATTTCGTTTTAGCTGTGTAATCAAATTTGTGAAAACACAATAGTATAGTAATTTATGAAAACAACTTTGTAATTTAAAATTAATATATGGTTTTGTGTAATTTAAAGAATATATAATAAAAATAATTTTAAAAATATGTTACAATCAATTATGAAGACAAGTTATTTGACAATATTTATTTTTAATAAATGTAAAATGTATTGATATTTTATGAGATTAAATTTAAAACATGCTAACATTATAAGCTTTAATTCGTAGAACAACATAGGTTATAAATACTTAAATAGCTTTCAATTGTATTACATATTAAATAAAAATAATCGTCACACAAATGATTTTTCTTATAATGGGTTTGCTTGCTAGGTTTGATAATTCGCATATATTCATTAGAATTGTTCTCATAGATATTAGTGTTCATTTAAGGCAAGGATATCTTACTTCGTTACACACACACTCTCTCTCTCTCTCTCTCTCTCTCTCTTTCTGATTTCCTTTGTAAACATTGTTTTGTAAACATTGATCATTGTACATGATGTATAAAATATCTTACCAAAAGCAAGATAGCATGTATGCAAGCATACTATAATGAATATAACTAGATGTTATGAAGAATAAATGAAGGACTAGGAATCTTAGTGGATCCTGATGTACTTTGGAACCACTTCTGTCTGATCCTTTTGTACCAAGAAACGTTCCATATTTATAAAAATGCTCTAAGAGCGCTTCTTTTTCTGCCCATCTGTCATACAACCATTTGGATAATTGTTCTGGTTCGCGAGGAACCTATAACAATTACATCATATTATGTAAATATCATTACACGCATTCGAGCAATAAATCACGATATTTCAAGTCAGACCACTTACCACTGAACTAGGAAAAAGTCGATAGAATAATACCGTCTCACACGGGGATCTCGAACCAGTTATAATAGTAGGTAAGTCAAGCGGCTTACCTTGAGGATACGCTATTGTTATGTCAAGAATCCAACTAATTTCTGGTTTAGCTACTGTCATATCTATAGATACAAAAATATTGCATTATTATGTAACAATCATAACAATTTTGCAATGAGTAAAATTTTCATATACTATGAATAAATAAATTTTGAATACCAAACAATTTTTAATACCAAATGCAGTCTTACTTGGTCGACTGTTTAATTGTTGATCTTGCATGTTCCTGCTTAATGCTGGTCCAAGAGTATCAAATATCATCTGCATGGCTCCTACTCTTGGCAAAGTCACATTTTCAAGAATAGGTAAATTATTTTTCTTAGCGTATTTTTGCGAAGTTTCCCGTCTTTTGCACAGAAAACCTCCTTCTGGGAAGAGTACCATCCATTTTCTATCCCGTGGTATATAAGAATCTTTAAGATGTTTCTCTAATTGTTTTAAACTTTCTTCCCTTCGTTTACGGCCCTGTAGTTATCTAATATATAATAGTTGAAAATAATAGAGAGAAAGAGAAAAATAATGCATTCTTTTCCACATCAAATCATAGAAAAGTAGCAGCTGTATATCTATATTTAACAAAATCAGTGAACTCTTAAAATTCCTGATCTCTATCATGTATCATGTTTATTAAATTATGATGTTAAAAGTAAATATACCAAATACTTTCTCTTTGGAATGGTTTCATTAATAAATAGCAACAAATCTTGATTGTCATATTTATTTTTGCTGGAAGTATAAAATATATGTTGATTTATTTATATGTATATGCATTTACCAATGCAGGATAATAAAAAAGGTAGATTTTGGAATATTTTATCGATATATTGCCAAGGTTAAAAAGTGTACTTGTAATGAAAACAGTAAATTTGATACATTTTTGGGGTAACAAACTTGTTATTTTTGTCATCACTTTGCGAATCTATGCAACATGATTATTGACATTCTATCATTTCTATGCAAAAAAAAACATATTTATATATATATATATATATATATATAAAGAATATTAAATTTTTTCAACAAAGAAACATGGATACATATATAGAGAACATTAATGTTTTATAAATTAATAAACAACTTTAATATAATGAACATGTTGAAAACGAAAACTAAGAAAACATTTTTTTCCTTTTATATTAACAAAATGATTATCAAACTTATTATATACTTTATAGTGATGTTAATATCGAAAAATTATACAGCGTAGGGCATTTAAAGTACAAGCTGTTATTTTTGAAAGTACGCATTATAGCAAAAAATGTTTTAGATAAAGGTTGACCCTGGGTCAAGATCAACTAAAAGGGTGATAGATTAAAATACATATAATTACATTCTGTATGAAACGATTCCTCACAATATTTGGCATAAAATATTATAAAGGTAGGATAGCCAAAAATTGAATAGTTTATGAGATATTTTATACTTTAACGTAAAAAGTTAAATTCTTTTGCAAAAAACAGTTACATTTTTTTTTAGATAACTATTTTCTTTACACCAATTGATTCCTCTTAATGTTTTGTACATAAAGATATTAAGGTAAGATAATTGGAAAATGAATATTTTACATATTTCATAGTTTATGTAAAATTATGTCATATGTGTTATGTTAAAATATAAAATATCTCGTGAACTATTCAATTTTTGGCCATCCTATCTTTATAACTTTTTACACCGAATATTGCAAAGAATGGATTTATATAAAAAAATTAGAATAGTTCCATTTAAAAAAATTAAGTTAATTTTTCTATAACCTGCACCACACATCTACGCCCAAGGACAAATTAATATTCCATCTTTTTTCCTCCCTTTGAACCAAACAATTTTTATTTAAAACATTTTTTGCTATAATACATATTTTCAGAAGTGACAGTATATAATACTTTAAATGCCCTACCCTGCATAAAATGCTTTTGTTATGCTTTGTTAATATGAAAAGAATATTTTAAAATATAAATTTTAAATATTTAATTTGTAATAGCATTAAGAAAAGTAATAGAAATTGTTACTTTTTGAGTAATGGTAATGATAATCAGTTGGTTTTTTTTAAATCAGTAATGATAATGTGTTATTTTTCAGAAAAAGGAATGATAAAATGAGTTACCATAAAAAATAATTTTCTAGACTTTGACTATTGCATATTTCATGAATGCAAATAATGGCAGATGAAAAAATTAATTAATTTTCATATTTTGCAAGAAAAAGATTTACTTGATTTCTCGTTTCTAATGTACTCAATATGACTGCAGTGAGGAAACAGAAATTTAAGATGCAATTTCATACTTACTGATACAATAAAGAAATCTTGATGTAATATAGAAACAATTCCAAAATTAGTAAATTTGAACACTCTATCCATTATCCACATTAAATTGGGTAAAACATTTGGTTTGGCATTAAATGTTGTCATTAATATAGGAACATCACCAGTACTCTGATGATTTGCTATAACTAATGTTTTTTCACTTATAATCTGCTGTATATCATCACCTTGTTCTATTACTGTTGAACAAAAGATAATCGTACTTTAAGAATCTAAAACAGCTATCTCTTTTTTTAATTTGTATATTATTAATACTTACTGTCGTAACCTGCAGACCAAGTCCACATTGATACCATTGCCAACAACCAGTGAAAAAATAGGCCCTCGATTCGCCAATACACTTGAGGTTGATATACTTTTACAGGAAACAATAACATCATCCATACTGCATATGTAGGTATACAGTAGACATTGTTCAATATCACAAATGCCGTCCGAGCAACACATTTCAATAAAGTCACTACGTTGCTAATTATTCTGCAAAATATATATTCCAATCAGGATTTTTTTTGTATGTCTAAATATTCTCAAGTCAATTATTTGTCTAATTTTAACAAAAAGGCAGATTATACAAATTTTAACCAAATTTTTATGTACTTCTTAATATCTTTTATATAAATTATTACAACATTTTATAAGACTTTTACTTTAAGAGAAAGTAAAATATCTTATAAGTATGCCAGAAGAAATAGAATTGTTTACGAATTGGTAAAAAAATATTTTATGTAGAATGTTTATATATATATTT